AAGAATAGAGGCTATTTCATTTAATAAAGATTTTTGGTTTTGATATATAAGTTGTTTGAGGTTTTTCATCTAAAAAAAAAAAGTGACATTAATTTCTTGATGACCTAATATTTATTACTGGGTCAAGAAGACCAATATCAGGCAGCTGGGCTAATCTTATTTTCTCCAGCTAGTTTGTTTTAACTAAATTGTAATTTGTAAAATCTTAAAGATGGTTAGATGGGTGTTTTCACATGGTTACTGTATAGGTTAATATGTAATGATAATTAGCCTGTGTTATATTTGTCTATACTATCTGGATAATAAAGGTTTACTTTCATACTCGTAATTGGTTGTGGATAGTAAGTGGTAATAGAATTCAAAATGTTATTAATTTATGCACCTTGCCCCCACCCACACACACTGAATTGATTTTGAACATGTATATGCTTCTGAACTCCATGTGGTAGCTAATAATGTATGTGTGTTCATGAAAAACAGGAGAGTATCTATACCACAAGAAAGAGAGATACTGTGTTGTTATATTAGTCTTTTTGTTAGTATTTATAATATTAGTTTGAAGAAAAAATTAATTTTGAATACATGAAGAATACTTCTTGTGACATTAATAAATTTTGTATTTATAGAATATAAGTGTAAACATATAAATCAATCATTTTCTGATATATAAAAATGTGACTTAAAAATATAAATAAATCAATATTTAAATTTTCAATTGTAAGCAAGAAAACTTGAAAATATTCACTTGTTTTGTGAAAACTTCTGCAGACTGTATATTTCCATTTTTTACTACAGTTTCAAATTCCATCTTCTGATATGGAAAAACTCTTAAAAGAATCCAATGAGGAATGTCAACGTATCATTTTAGAAAATGTTTCCAAAGACTTGCATGTACCTGTAGCTTGTCGAACTTTCAGTGGTTGTAAGTAATATATCAACTTTTTAGTTTATGTAGCATTTTTCAATTTTTCTTTTCAAGAAAATATTAGAAGGATTAATACTCACCCAACAGGTGCTTTTAATTAGGTAATTAGAATTATCTGCTGATTAACAAACAGACATAAACTTCTCTAAGGACTCATTTGGTTATCAAAAGGTTGAATATATATTTTAAATATATATAAAAGTTTTGTGCAGTGGCACAGTGTATGTATATGTCTGTGTAATTACAATGCTAGAAACTGGGTTTCGATACCTGTGTAACTTTGTGCTTAACTTCAAACATACAAGTATAAGCTTTGTACTATGCTACAAAAAAAAATGTTTTTAGCTGTTTCTGAAGCTTAAGAAAAAACAGGATTGTAACTGAACTTTTGGTTCAAATTTGGTGGACTTACCTCTGAAGTATTGCAAGTCTTTTCTCACTCTGTTTACAACCATGTGACTTTTGGATTTGAAAGTTCTTGACATAATGATTAAGTTGGTTATCTTACCCAAAGTTCTCTGCCACTTTTCACGTGACTTATTATGCAAGTTTGAGGAACTACATAAGCTCAGCTTTCTTGATATAACTCATGTTTCTCATTGACAGTTGCCCTGTAAACTAAGGAGCAGGACTTTTCTGCTCATTTTATTTCACTTTTTTACTCAGATATGTAAAATTTTAAATCATGAACTGATTTCTGTTACTGTTTATAATTCAGTTCTTGAATCTTTGTATCTTCCATATTCTGATAAGTTGTTGTTGATGCCTTCAGAAATCAGCAGAATGTTAACAATTTTCACATTCCTAAGGAGTTAGATCTGTCAGCTAGTCCTGATCCTCAATAAGATTCTGCTGGTATTATTTCATTTTTTTTCTTGGGTATGTGCTATTTTAATCATTTTCTGTTACAGCTGGGAGTGCTAATATTATGTTATATGATCAGTTCTTGAACCCTTGTGTGTTCCACTTTCTCCTGATATTTATATTGTTGCTGATGCTTTCAAAATTCAGCAGGATGTTAATAATTTTCATGTTTCTTGTAGTCACTATGTGTGTATTTTTTTAGTAGGATCAACTTCTATAACACATTTTCTTCATAAGTTCTATATTCCCAGATTGTTCATTCTGGGTGATCTTCCACATGGTTTTCTTTCTTGTCTTTTTGTCAGTATCCTTTTTCTACATGCTATGATATGTCTCACTTTGAGAATTTTTTATTCAGCACAGCTATTGGCTATCGACTACTTTTTTTTTTACCTGACTTGTAATCAAGATAGTATTCTACTTCACAGTCTGCATCTCTCACTTACTTAGTATTTGTTACCATGTGGCTTTTATCTGTGTTCCTTCAACATTAGCCTGTCATACTATGTTACAAGGTGCTCATCTCCTTCCCTCTCCTCAATATTTCATCAGACTTTCAAAGAGCTTCTTTTCTTGCAATCTTCTGACATAGCAGGGATTTACCCTGAATTAATTTTATGCTCTTTATTCTTACTGTGCATCTTTTCTATTTCCTTCTGATCCAATTTGCTTACAAACTTTGGATCAGGGTGTTGTGCTTACAAAAAGGAACTATCGAAATAGTTCACCACACATCTCTAGGACTTTACTTCCATCAAAGAATGTCATAATAAAAGACAACCAGATTCTCAGACGCTAAGTTATGTGATACAAAAGATAATGTGGCTAGACCACAAAAAACATTGATTGGTGTGATCAAATAGAGCTTGAGAAGAATCCAGAATTAGAATTATAGGCATTGGACTAGGAAAGCTTTACTTATGTATTTCCTTGGCACTTTTGCAAAAGTCTTGTGTAAGGTGATGCATGTAATGCATTGCAGCAAAAACATTCAGAACCAAGAATGCCATAGTTGTTGACAGTGTGTGAATGATTAAACAAGAAAAGGATTGCAGTTTTTGATGAGCAAGTCTGCTTGAAATTCGTTTTAATTCTAAAATGTAAACATGTGGTACAGTACAACAGATAATTAATAAATAATTGTCCATTATTGTCATAATTTTCACAAGTTTACGAATTGTACACTTTCAGCCCCTCCCCCCCAACATTTTGAGAGGTTTGGCCAAAGATCAGTCTTAACGCGTCAACAAGTAAAAGCACAATTTACCTGTAGCAGTTACCTTCATAGATTTATAAGGCTGATATATAACACTAAGTAATGCACAATTATTTCAAAGAAAAAAAATGTAACTATATCAACAGTTTGTTTTTAAAATATCACTATATTTATAACAGAATAATAATATCAAGAAAAAGAACACCATAAATAATAGAGAGGTTAAGTATTAAAATGATTTTGGAGCCTCACACATCATTATAGGCCATGTCACCATATCTAGTTACGTTCTATCTGCTGACTACACATCTTGACAATAGCCCTGAAGCATAGTTTCCACTACAAGAGGCTCTGGCATAAGACTGTCATGTATCAAAATCACAACATTCTGTCCTACTTGCTTTCCATAACCTGTCTAATTGATGAGGACAACAGTTTCTCAGCACCTGTTTAAACTTTCCTATTGCACAGAAATCTCTATGTGCTACATCCAGTGGCTTGACTGGTATGTCTTCTTGTGAAGGACTATGGATACCCATTTCATTCTCCAGTTGATTGTTAAATGAGAGGTTTGAATAGAAGTCTTGTTTTGGTGAACCCCATACCCTTTTGACCTTGTTTCCACACTGCAATCCCTTTTCATTATGTTGCCTGGGGTATGTAGATAAGCATTTGACACTGACCTTTGTGTTTGTGGATTTTCATCTTCTAGAAGACCCCACATTTTGCTTGCCACTATTGGTGTATGATTTATAACAAGTCTCTTTTGGATGTTCCTTGCCCCAAATTGGTCTGTTCTTTTGTTTTCCAAAGCTATTAAGTACAAGGGATATTCTCATCTTGGAAATTCTAAATTCCCCAACGGAACACATCTGTATAATCTGAGGTATATATTTTGCATCAGAAAAGACTGCTACATTTCCTTCCCAAAAAAGGAGAATTTTATGTGGTATTACACTATCTATGAAATGTCAAAATGCAGTTCTGGTATATTCCTTTCCTTAGCTGTGGTTATGTGTGACTTGCTGATTTGCATATTCAATATTATTTTAATATATTTTACTCAACCTACAACCTACAATGGAACTAATATGCAGTTATGAGAGCACATTTCAGAAAAAAGATATAATTTTCAGCAAAATTAAAAAAACAACTCATATTTAACATTCATGTTATATCATAAAGTGCTTCATTATTAAGAAATTATTTCTTTTGTCTGCCTCTAGCAAGTTTGTGTCCTATAAAAACTTTGGTGACTAGTTTTGCTAGTGAAATGTGTTACTGTCTACTTTTCTATAAAATTTAAAATCCAGTGGCAGAGATGAAAATTTCAAACGTAAAAAAAGTATATAACTTTTTCTTTTAAAAACAGTTTAACCACAACTACACTTTCCAGGCCCCAATGTATATTTCATACAATGGTTAAAATGGATAATCCCTTAGATATTTAAGAAATTCAGGAGTTTAACAAACTCTGACAGTATTTTTCTTATTAGAATGCAAATATGTAGCTACTATAATTCCCAGATACAATTACATGTGGGGTGAAATATGTGTATATACTGCATATACACATATATATATAATATGTGTACATATACACACCCTCCCACAGATATATATATATATATATGTGGGTGGGTGTGTAGAAAGAGAGGTTTGTATAAACATTCATGTTCATACATACACATATCTATTTGTGTATAGTTATTTAATAGTATCCATTACAACTGACTGATAAAATATTTTGTCTTTTATAGGTGTTAGATTTTGTGATAAATGTCACCATATTAAACCTGATAGAGCACATCATTGTTCAGTGTGTGGAGTGTGAGTATTTTTTTATTTTTTTGTCATTAATGAAATTAAAGGTTTTTTTTAAGTTGGAAAAATTACTTGCTATATCTGAAATAATACACACATGTATTTAAAGGAAAAAAAGAAAAAACAGTGTTGCTGTTGCTCTTCAAATTAATTTTCATCAGAGCCTGGTTAACTTGAATAAGTCAGTGCCCACTACCTCTCTGCAATTTATTTATGAAGGGTTGAATGTGCATAATGAAAAAATGCACCAACTGCCCTCTGTAACAGGTGACGAATGAAAACTATAGTATTGTAGATTTTGATCAATCGCAGTATCCAATGTTGTTTTTCTTGTTATCATTTACAAAATGGATGTGTGGAATCTATTAAGTATACAGAAAGAAAATATGAGTTTAATTTCACAGATAAATGGACAACGGCTATTAAATATATATTAGACAACAAAGATAATTTTGTAGACTTACAAAAGGGTATGGGGAGACAAAAATGTATGCTTGTTTTTGCACAGTTTCACCTAAGGTACATTGGGGCTATTTGTTTTGAGGTATTTTCTCACTGGACGTATTCAGGCATTAATTCAGTGATCGGAGATAGGTGGAACATAAAAAGAATATGAATAGTGTAAAATGTATATAGCAGTTCCATAGTCATCAAACATCAGCCAACCAATAAAAAAAAATCTGACCAATAAATGTACTGAATTTCAAAAATGACCTATCAATTAAGAAATAGTGTTTTCTAACATTACTTGAAATCATTATTGGTGCTAGGAATTACTTGGACATGTAATGCTACAAAACACTCAATTTCTTAATTCTCATATCAAATACCACTATTGGTATTTGGTTTTCAATTAATAAAAAAAAAAGTGCGGTAATGTTTTATGACATCATTCATACACACTTGAATAGATGATTCCATACATTTACTCAACAATCATAAAGTAGTTAAATAAAAACAATTTCGTAAACCAATGAGTATCACTTGAAACTGAAAGTATAATTACTGAAGACTTGTTTTGAGCCCTTGAAATATATGTGTGTCTTTGGTTACAGCTGTTGAAGACTTAATATACCAATGAACTCAACATACTAAAATCTAAGTAAATGCCAACAGTCAGCATTTTATGTGTAACTGTAAAATATTCAATTAACATGTTGAAGAGATTAGCCAGTTTAGTGAGAAATAAAGGTTCTTTTCAATAATAATAAAAAATAACTTTGTTAATTGCATAAATCATTAAAACTGTGTCACATTGACTCTCGTATCAGGTTTTCTTTCTAAAGTTCAAATTCTTTGCAAACAACATGTTTTGTGGGATTCAAATTTTGTAGGAAACACATAATAGTAGCTCACTAAGAAAGAATCATCACGAACATTTTTGCCACGATTAAAGTCTTATCAAAAAAGGCTTCTGGCTTACTTATGTTCATGTTACAGAAATTTCTGCAAATTTCTTTCAGAAAGAAGTCCTATCACAGATAGTATCTACAAGATAACCAAAGCACAAGTAATGTTTACTCTTAACTAATACAACTTGAACTGACAAAGTTAATTATTTGATGTTTCAGTTATATTTTAGCTTACAAAATCTATGAAATTGACAGAGGTTCATTAAAAATGAACAGTATTTGATAATCTTTCAGAAAATATGATTTTGTGAGGATGAGGGATACAAGAATAATTGTGCAAATGACACTAAATTTCTGGATTCTTTTTTATGCTGGATAATTATATTGTAAAAACAAAATAGTTTGTATTTTCATGATTGTTATTATTGTTTAGCTTCTCAGCTTTGATTAGAACTTGAAAGTTATTAAATTGAAATGTAGATTGTATTATATGTATTTCATGATGCTATTTATTCTTTTTATTAAATGATTATTTTTGAGATTAGAAATACCACACATCTTGTCTTGTTGGTGGATTTTTTCTAAAATTCTAAAATAAAATGTTTATTTTTTTTAGTAAAAAGTACATATATTTATGCTCTCTATTTATGTAACTAGTTTAATCTACTGGTATACGTAAGCATTAAGTAGTGTATAATACATAAAAATTTTAAATATTTTGAAAAAACTTTGCAAAGATTTGTTTCAGTGAGTAATTGTATTTGTGACCATACACTATTTTATAATTATTTTTTAATCATAATTTTTGTAAATATCAAAAGTCTGCCTCCATAAAATGCACCAAACATTATTTATTGCAGGTGTGTTTTGAAAATGGATCATCACTGTCCATGGTAAGATTTTGTTCACTGTCTTTTATATCATTTTTTAAACATTTTGTTAGAGACTATAAATGTGTGATGGTTATCAGAATAGTGTTTGGTAGGAATAATTAAATTCTCTGAGTTGATTAAATAGTTTAAAAGGTTAAAAATGTTTGTACTTAATTCTAAGTGTAAACTTTTTTTTTTCAGGGTGAACAACTGTGTATCATTTTCAAACTACAAGTTTTTCATCCTTTTCTTAGGATATGCTTTGATTTACTGTGTATTTATTGCTGCTACTTCATTGCAATACTTTATCCAGTTCTGGAAGGTAAATTTTTTCTATTTTCATTGAAATTATTGAAATATTATTCCTGAAAATAATTGTACAATATGTTCATTCCAAAATTATATGTTAAAATATTTTTTTGTATTATTACATGTATAAAATAATTCTTCTTTTCTACATCAAATTGATAAAATGTAAAAGATAGTCTACCTGTGCCTGACTTGCAACAAACATGTATATGTTACTTGATTGGTGTAGATCAACTATCTTTAAATTACATATTTGAATTGCAAGATAAGTACTCGTATTTCATTGTATCAGGTATGCCATTTTGATATTTTTTTACATTATTATTTTTTGTTATTACTTAAAGAAATGTTTTGTTTGTAAGCACAAAACTACACAATGGAACATCTGTGCTGTACTCATCACTGATATCGAATCCCAGTGTTTATGTGTTATAAGCCTTAAGACTCAGTACAACTGAGCCACTGGGAGGCAAAAAGAAAGGGAAAATATCCTAAAGTTACCCCCACCCAAGAAGATGAGAAACATAATTATTTCTTGATTCATTCAGCATACGTATAGGAATTTTTTATTCAAATCACAGTTTCACTCTACTTTGCTCCCCCCTTCCCCTGGAAAAATTTCTGCGGACTCCCATGGTCCATGACATACAAAAGAATTTTTAGACTCAGTTGTAAGAAAATAATGTTTTGGAAATTAGTTCCAACTTAATACATTATTCTTGTTCTTGTCTCTTACATGTGTTTTACTAATTAATAGTTAGTCAAGTTATTTTATTAAGTGCAGTACTGTAAGACAACAAAGAAATTAAAGAAACTATACAACTTTTGTTTTAGCCAATCCATGCTGCTTCAAACTTCCTTAACTACCATGTGTAAAACATGCACGAAACTGAACTATTTGATATTAAAGTACCATATTTGGTCAAACTAAAACAATTACAAGTATATCACGAATGAAATTTTTTTTTTGGATTACTTAAAAAAAAGGATTTTAGTACTGCATGTAAAAAAATCTTAAATTATCTTAGAATTTAATATTACAAATGAGTTTAAGTGAGTCAAGAGGTATTTTTATATGTGCATGTATTATCTGGGTGTTAATAAATTGAAGGATTTCTAATGACTTACAAAAATTATATTTATTATATATATAATCTCAAACAATTAGGCTAAAAACCAATAACACAGAATACAATGTATAAGATAGACAAATAAAATTAGAGTATAAACTACAGAATAATAAAGAAGTAATATACCTTGGTAGGGGAGTTATCTGTAGAAGTAATCAAATAGATTAGTAATGTATCTATAACTGAATCTAAATAAATCTGAGTGTAAAGTATGTTTTTGTTTCGTAAACTTGTGTTACAATACAGACTGAAGCTTGTATGTTTTATATTTAGCCTTCAAATGACTGACTTCTTTTTATATTGTTCACTCTGGCGGGGATACACATTGCATCACACTGAGTAATTTTATGGGTTTGTCTATTCAACACCTAAAGTAAGGAACTGGTCAAAAACATTGAGCAAAATCACTCATTTTCTATGTAAGAATGATAGGGAACCTCATCTGCAATTATTTGGATTAATTACAATATTTTTTATGTGACTTACATGCTATTAAGAATCCTATGGCTAACAGTCGTAGACTCACAAGCAGTTTGATGTACAAATAATTTAAACATTTTTTAAAAAAAACATTTTACTGGAGCCCATGGATACAACTTGAATACTTACTTTAACATTGACTTTTGGTCACTAATCTTGCCAATCATTTTTTAATTTAAAATGAATAACAGGATTAGGCGCACACAATTCCAACCTCACACGTGTAAACTACCATTTGCTATCCCTAGCCAATTGAAGGAATTATTTGCTCCTAATTAAACAGAATAAACAACAAAGTTATTACTAAACAGAATAATGAGTATAATTGAACAGGTAAAGTCCAACCACTGGGTATGAACACAGTTGAGTAAAGTTTAACTCCTTTCCAATCTTTCTGATGATCACATACAGCATAACAATAACAAAATATTTCATAATTCTGGGTCTGTATAACAATCTATTCTCAAAAACTAAACATTTATTATTTATTATAGATAGTTCTACTTCCTCCATAAATTCAAGTTTCTAATGATATTTCTGGTATTCACATTTTTTATCATAAGATTTGGCAAAAATAAAAATAAAATTATATTGTCTTAAAGAGATTGCAATTTTTCCTTTATTTCATTTTACAGAACAATTTGGAAGGATTTGGGAGATTCCATATATTATTCCTGTTTTTTGTTGCTATTATGTTTGCTATTAGCTTGATCTCATTATTTGGTTATCACTGCTACTTAGTGAGTGTGAATAGGTCAACATTAGGTAAGTACAATGTTCTGAAGTATCTATCTTGTAACCTTGTACCTAGAAATTATTTTTTACATTATTATTTTTGTACTAATGTATGATCTGAAAATAAATTTCAATTTAACTTGTATTAAAAATTTCGTTAAGTTTGTGTAGATATTTCGTATATTGTGTATGTAAAATCGCTAGACATTGTAGAATACAAGTTATTAAATCGTTGAAATATAACTGTAGTGATGTAACATGTATACTCAAATTGACCTTCTTTAACCCGATGACTACCGGCTACTAACTTTCTTAGTAGGCAATGCAAGTCTTGCTATATTTCATTCCAATAATAAAACTAGTGGACGAATATTTTAGAAAATTCATAAGTACTTTGACAAATGTAGGTAGTTTAAGAAACATAAAGACCTATTACTTTTAATAAATTTAGTTTTTTTGTCATTATGATCTTTAATATCTTGGAAATTATATTA